AGCCAAACAAGGATGAGCAAGAAATCTCTGAAGCATCTATTAACAAACTTGTCGGTTCTGTAGACATGTATGACTTGAAGGTATAATGCACGAACATGCTTCTTTTTAGTAAACTGAAATGAGACGATGCTGATTGTGTATTAATCTTGCTACTCACCGGTCTATATCCTATACACTGTATAGGAGATGGAGGCTCCCGATACACTTGTGTGCAGCCTAAGGCCTTACCAGAAGGAGGCTCTTTACTGGATGTCAGAATCAGAGAAAGGAGCTGGTGTAGAAGAAGCATCAAAAACTCTTCATCCATGTTGGGCAGCATATCGTATATGTGAAGAGTAGGCACTTCTCTCGCTGAATTAGACATTGCAAATAAGAAAAAAAGAGTCACAGATGGTCTATTCTTAAAGAAGATAGTTAGTTTTCAAACATAAATGACTAACCAAACTTCTCCAACAGGAGGAAAATATATGTCAACATTTTCTCTGGGGAAGCAACTACTGAATTCCCAACTGCATCAAATGCCGCACGCGGAGGGGTGGGATTTCCTTCTCACAATCCTTCTCTTAATTGTCTTTTATTGACATGATCTGGTTCTTCTGTTAGTTAATTTGTTGCTTCACGTGTTTCTCTTACTGCAAGTTATTTTTTTCAGTGTTCTTTTTTTATCTGAATCAGTTTGTTCTTTGCAGATATTGGCAGATGCAATGGGTCTTGGAAAGACGGTGATGACAATTTCTCTGATACTAGCAAATCTGGGTAGGGGTAGCCCTGATGATCAGGAAATTGTCTTGGAAGACACAGATGAAACTGAATGTGTAACAAAAAGAATTACGTATACTGATACCGAAGTCTCAAAAAAAGCAAAAGGCGGCACTCTCATTGTCTGTCCCATGGCATTACTAGGCCAGTGGAAGGTAAGTCATAAAACGTGCAATGAAATGTCCAGAATTTGTTTTTCCCATGTTTTTATATTGGATCTCTGTTTACGCATAGGTACTTTGTTATCAGATCTTGTATTTACTGCTACAGCTCCAATTACTCTAAATCCCTGTTTATTTTTGAATGCTAGGATGAACTTGAAGCACATTCAAAACCTGGTAGTGTTTCAGTTTTTGTTCATTATGGTGGGGACAGAAGTAATGATCCTAGAGTGATAGCAGAACAAGATGTAGTCCTGACAACTTATGGTGTCTTGAGTGCAACTTATAAGGCTGTAAGTAGTAATGCATGCCATTTAGTTTGACATCATCTGTGTTGCTATTACTGTTGTTTTGATAACAGATCTGTTGTTACTCAGAATAATGAGAAAAGCATATTTCATAATGTTGATTGGTACCGGGTGGTTCTGGATGAGGCACACACCATAAAATCCTGGAAGACTCTTGGTGCACAGGCTGCCTTTACTTTATCAGCATATTGTAGGTGGTGTCTTACTGGTACTCCTCTGCAGGTATGTTACAAAAATTGCATGATTATACTTCAGTTCTTTTGCTTCACAGAAGTTTTGTAATCAAGCATACTGCTAATTTTATTATCTCATACAACTTATGAATGAAATAAATGCCTGGTGTCCGATGCTTTGTATTGATATTATAATTACTAATTGCTGCAGAATAATTTGGAAGATCTTTACAGCCTTTTATGTTTCTTGCATGTCGAGCCTTGGTGCAACTGGGCATGGTAAGTTTAGGTTAAATGATTATATTCATTTTGTTATATATATGTTGATGGAATTATAAAGTTTTCAAGTGTCAACTACTCTGCCCGGTTTTCTATTTGTGAAAAGGTTCGTGTAACATGACTGAGGTAGTTCTGTTTTCCTGTTTGCTCCTAATTTAGGTGGAACAAGTTAATACAGAGACCTTATGAAAATGGTGATCAGAGAGCTCTAAAATTGATCAAGGCCATTTTGAGGCCACTGATGTTGAGGAGAACAAAGGATACGAAGGACAAAGATGGAAGGTGCTTACTCTATTTTTTAAAAGATCTTCTTTATCCTAATCTTTTATAAATTGCTGCAATTATGATTTTCTCCCAACACTGACATATATTCTTCTGAAATCAGGGCGATTCTTGTTCTCCCTCCAACTGACATTCAAGTCATTGAGTGTACACAATCGGAAGCTGAACGTGACTTCTATGATGCCCTCTTCAAGAGATCTAAAGTACGAATCAAAATCTTGTTCTTCCCATGTAAAAACTGAATTTGTTAAAAAATGTGATTTTTACTCAAAATAATCATCATTGTTGCTGATGGAATATATGCTTATACTCTTGTTTTTGGTGAATAAACCAGGTTCAATTTGATCAGTTTTTGGCACAAGGAAAAGTTCTTCACAACTATGCTAATATTCTTGAATTACTACTTCGACTGAGGCAGTGTTGCAACCATCCTTTCCTTGTGATGAGGTCAAAATAATTCTCAATCCAATAAACTTGCTATAATCTGACCTATTTTGCTCGCATCCCTCCAAAATGTTGTTACACTTTGTCAGATCTTTTGAAAGTGCCTAGCTTAAGGATGATCTGACACATGTGACAATATTTTTGAAGAGTTAGAGCAACCTGGAATCTTACAACATGACTTGTTAGTTTCTTCTAAAATCTAACTTTATATATATTGCTTGTAATGTGCAGCCGAAGTGATAATCAAGAATTTGCAGATTTAGACAAACTAGCAAGAAGGTTCTTGGAAACAAATCCTGATTCATCAACACAGAAAGCACCTACACCAGCATATGTAGAAGAAGTTGTTGAGGGAATTCGAAATGGCGAAAATACGGAGTGTCCCATATGCCTCGAGTCAGCAGATGACCCTGTGCTAACACCATGTGCCCACAGAATGTGCAGAGAATGCCTTCTTTCAAGCTGGAGAACTCCAGCAAGTGGACTTTGCCCAATATGTAGGCAGATGCTAAAGAAACATGAGCTATTCACATGTCCTTCTGCAAATCGGTTTCGAGTTGATGTTCAGAAGAACTGGCAAGTATCTTCTAAGGTTTCAAAGCTGATGGATTGCTTAGAACTTGTAAGAAAATCTGGTGAAAAAAGCATTGTTTTTAGCCAATGGACTTCATTTCTTGATCTTTTGGAAATCCCACTCAAAAGAAAGCAAATTGGCTACTTAAGGTTTGATGGGAAATTGTCACAGAAACAAAGAGAAAGGGTCTTAAAAGAGTTCAGTGAGACTAATGAAAAAACAGTAAGTATTACTTATCATCTATGTCTCACTCGGACTCTCCAAAAATGCATGTTGAATCTTCAAAAAGTAGTGCATTTTTGGAGAGTCGAACAAGTACCTATGTTGTTTGACTCTTAAAAAAAAGTTGTTGCACCCTTGTTGGATCCTCCAAAAATGAGCAACATAGGATGCCAATACACTATTTAACTTCTTGAATGATTTGCTTAGCTCTTTCAAAGCTTAACTTTTTAAAAATGTCACTATGTTTCAGATTTTGTTAATGTCACTAAGAGCTGGAGGTGTTGGCTTGAACTTGACAGCAGCTTCTAATGTCTTTCTCATGGTAATTCTATATACATTCCCACCCCACCCCAGCCCCCAAATCTTTTTCTTTACAGTGTTAATGTTCTTACTTCTAATCATTGCAGGATCCATGGTGGAATCCTGCTGTCGAAGAACAAGCAATTATGAGAATTCATCGTATTGGTCAAAAGAAAATAGTTCGTGTTAGAAGGTTCATTGTTAAGGTAAAGATTGCTCTTATTTAAGCTATCACTTGTACTAATATACTTGATTAAACACTTGATAGATTTAAGAAAAAGGGGTGGGTTGAAGTGTTTATATCATATTCTGAACGTTTTAGTGAAAATCTTGATTCCGTCATTGACTAAAATATTATTCTTATCTCCCTAAGTCTTTTTATGGAAGACTTGTTACATGTATTGGTGAATGATAGGAAGACTTCTAGTTTAGTGATTCAAAAATTGCTGTAGGTTGTGAATTCTAGATGTAATATTTTTATAAACCTCTTATATGAACTTCTAGCTCCGTCATTGATAAATAGGTACCTTGTTAACAATTTTATGTAGTTTGTACATATTATTGATTTGTCTTTGTGGTAAAATGGTGTATATTTAGGACACAGTGGAAGAAAGAATGCAACAAGTCCAAGCAAGAAAGCAAAGGATGATAGCTGGAGCTTTGACTGATGAAGAAGTGAGGTCTGCTAGACTTGAAGAACTCAAGATGCTTTTCAGATAATTGTTTTTAATATATTTGGAAAAGTCCAATTATATTTATATTTAATTGGATGTAAAATTAGTGGGAAAAAAAAACAACGTTTTTATGTCCAAGGGGTGGATTAAATTGTTTTTTGTATAGTCACAATTGTTCCACCTGAATTTTGTAAAGTATTTTTGAAGTAACAAACCAAGATATGATCCTGTTGTCCATGCTTATTGCATATCTGAATTAGATGTAATTAATTGGATGTAATGTTAGTGAAAAAATGAAGAAAACAAGAACTAATGTTTATGGGTAGATATATTTGTTTTTGCAGTATTTCAATATAATTTAGATTAGTTGAATTTATAAATTTTAAATATGAAATATAATAGTTAGACGTAACAACTATTATCGCACGTAACAACTATTATCGCTTGTAAATAAGTTGAAGAGATGTCTTCTAGAATTAATATAAAGTGGTTAATGAAAGCCAATAAATATTGTATAAAAAATATGTTAGTACGATTTGATTAATTTGTATTGTCTAGTTTTTTTTATATGTAGACTCTGTTTAGTTTTTTGAATATTGCTCATCCAAAATATGTATGTTTATTTGAAAAAAATTCTTCATAGATTGTAAAATTCTCAAATTTCTAAAAAATTAAGTCACAATTTTTTTCCTTAATATGGTTTTTCTAATACATATAAGATGCTATTTAATTTAATTAAATTGAACAAAGAATCCTTGTCAAATTTATAAGAGTCGAAAAATAAAAATTTATGATTATTTTTAAGAATTTTTTTTTTTTAACATTGATAGAAATCTTTGTCATCCCACTTTTTCCCATATAAATACTCTTCCCCCAAATTTTTTCCGCCATATTCAATTTCATTTCTCTCCTGGCGAATACAAAGCAAACGACGATCTGCTCCGGTAGCCTAGCCGATTACAACGACGACGATCCAGCGTCGATACTAGTTAATTGTTTAACCGATTGAAATGTAGCTGTTCCTCTTTCATCGCCGTTGATTTTCATCGCTTGAATCTAGCGATTTAACGGCAGCGAAAAATTCAATTTTCGGTAGTAAGGAGGAGGTGAAGAAGGAGAAATCGCCTGTAGTTTTGGTGTTCCTTAAGTGGAAACATCCTGTGACGCCGTCATGCTAAGAGGTAATGACTCCGTAATGTCGTTTGTAAAATGTTCAGGAAATATAGATCGGTGATGAAATCAATCTAATAGTGCTTTTTTTTGAACTTTTTACTTCATTTTATGGCGGATATCAAGTATACGAGTACGTTTTTGATGACCGTCGGCGACCAAGCAGGTTGCAAGGGTGAGCTCAGCGTTGGTACAAATAAATTATGCATCGATTGGTATGAGGCTATACCTCTTCTATAACTGTTGCTTCCATAGCTGTATCTAGCAATTTAACGGCAGCGATAAGTTCAATTTCCGGCAGTAAGAGGAGGTGAAGGAGAAATTGCCGGCAGTTTTGATGTTTCCGAAGTGGCAACATCTTGTGACGCCGTCATTCTACGAGGCAACGACTCTGTAAGTGCCTTTTGTATAATGTTCAGGAAATATAGACCGGTGATGCAAACTATCTAATAGAGATTTATATTTTGAACGTTTTACTTCATTTTATGGCGGATATCAAGCTAGCCAGTACAGTTTCAGGTGACCAGCAGCGACCGAGCCGGTTGCAACGCGAGCTCCAGTGTCAATACAAATAAATTGTGCAACCGATTGGAATGTAGGTATTCCTCTTCTATGGCCGTTGATTTCATTGACTAAATCTAGCAATTTAACAGCACTTCAGTTTCTGGTAGTAAGGAAGAGGTGAAGAAAGAGAAATCGCCTACAGTTTTGTGTTTAAGAAGAGGCAGCATCCTGTGAGAAAACCACCTCTCTACAGAATCATGCTTAATATATTAATGATCTAGATTTATTTGACTTAACAATAATCTTAATCATGCTTAATATATCTTTATTCTAGAGAAAAAGATGCTGTATGATTTTAGTAAGAATTTTCATCAGGTATAATCAGCAGAGTTAAATTATACACATCAGTTCAACAAACAATAATTGATGAGAAGATTTGCTAAATTGGCTCAACAAATTACACTAATCAGAGCTACATGGTTCTAAAAATTACAAACAGAGAACTTTTGATAAAATATAAAAGCCGTTGCTAGATAACGAGGCGGGTTTATGTGAAAATAATTGAAAACAGAAAAAACTGATATGTGGATGGAGTAATGCGGGTTAAAGTCTTTGCAGGTTAATTAAGCCTGAATCCACCCTGTCCCGTCCTGTCTCTGTATCTCCACACAGGCCTAACACATCATTTGTTAGCAAAAATCATTCCAACACGATTCGTATTCACCTCACATAAGTAGAAAATATTTGTTGTTCATTCAACGAATATAAGGTGTACTGAACTAAAGACTGAAGATATTGCACAAATACATATTGTATCAAGGTGAAAAGAAATCATGATGCGACATTCTTCGTACCTGGCCACTTCGAATAGGTTCCTTGTGTTGGCTTTGAATACGATTAATCCAACATGAGCTACATGAGCTTTTTTTTCTCGCCTCATATATGCTCATGATGTGATTAATCCACTAGAAATAGGTTCATTGTTTTTGTGTAGTTTATTTTGTTATCAGAAATAACATGCTCTGCAGCTATGATGTGTGGTGTCTGTCGGAGAAAATCGACAGGAAAATTTTAAGAAGAAACAGAGAGGATCAAGGTTAAGACTATTGTATGCTGAAGTCTTAGGTTTTTCTCTATATAAAAATCACAGGAAAGTACAACTTTTTAGATGTGAAAATACGAAACTACTAAGTCACTGGATGACCACTATGCAACAACTAATTACTAACAACAGACTAGAAAGTACTGCACCATGATCTGCAGATTTGCTAACAGCTAGCCCAAGAATACAGGACACTACTAACAAACTTAATTGACCATGTTATACTTCAAAACAGTCTTCAATAGTGTCTTCATACTATAAAACGTTATTGGCAGAGTTAGAGTCAAATCAAATCCAAAATTTGATCATTATGGGTTCTTTCAAAATTCTACTAGAACCCTTCTAATTTATTGCTGGAGCCAGAGGCAGAACCCTTCTGCTGATAGTCATAAATGTCTATTACTAAAAGAGTTAGAAATGATGCACAATGCACAAATATATATTGTATCGAGGTGAAAAGAAACCTTGATCATGATATTGTTCATATACAGGCTTCTCCGATACAAATGGGTCACTTTAGAAATAGGTTGATTGTTTCAACTCAGAATACGGTTAATCCAGCATGGGCTACATGATTCTTTTTCCTCTCCTCGTATATGCTCTTAAATATACATCCCATGAAAATAAGCATTACTACTTGAAAGAGATAAACTAACACCAATGAAATCCCACAAGTGCGAAACTAGACAACATCAGAAGTGGAAAATAGAGATCAATAATTCTTATCGTCTATCTTAAGCTAAGTATATCATTTTACCTTACAAAAATAGAACCAATGAACAAAAGACAAAAAGAAAGCAAAATAGACAATAGAGTCACAAAGATTGGAATGCTTCCTTTGTCTCTCCTCAATAACATCCCTTCAATTATAGGATAATTCACCATCAAGATGAAAAATGAGAGGAACACTTGACCAAACAAATCACTCAATCTCCCTTCTAGAATCACTTTTCCAATAACTCCCCAAGTGAAGGAAATCATATTCAATATGACTAATGTAACCAAAGGGACAATTAGTCTTTTAGATGCTTGAAAATTGTATATTCCCATTTGGTATCTCTTCAATTGTTCATCATCAACAACTTTATTTGTGGGCAAAAAACTTGCTTTTCTACAGCCATATAACTTCATGATTGCATCCAAAGTTCCATAGAAATAAGCTGTTATTGATTTTATCATCCATACCCTCCATTCATTCCACCATGTTCTCATTGTCCCTCCAGTGTTCACAACATCCCACAAGTATTTTGAAAGTGATGACAAGAAAAGAAAAGAATATACAAAGAACCATGGACTTGAGACCTGTGAAAATATAATATAGTTACTATCAAAGTCTATCTCGAAGTTTTTATTTAAGTTCTATATATCGATAGTGGAATAAGAATTTTTACGTTGGTCATTTAAATGATAACAATAATGAGTTTAAGTTTTATAGACTGATGAGCAAATTAAAGTTTCACAAAATCTGGTCACTTGATAGATAATTGTAGGTAAATCTCTTGGTTATAAGCTAAAAATGGTGTACCTAATCTGCTATCACGGGTTAAAATTCGCTGATAGCATAAAATAAAATCTTAAAATCGTCAATGTATTTAACTTAAATCCAATGATAATTACTTACTCTATTTTCAAGCCACACCATATTAATTTCTCATATATCTGTTGGTTTGAACTTGAAAATGGGACCAGGTAAGTTTTTTCAAAGATGTAACTTAAACATATACTTTTACTTGCTGCAGCACCTAAAATTCAATGACAATTTGAAATATTTTTATACTATCGGTGTAATAAGTTAATTCCTGATACCGTAGGGTGGTAATGCTATTTAGGAGACAAAACTGAGGAATTATAGCTAAAACCAATAGATACATGACACATACTTTCACTTGCTGCAGCTCGTTAAAATTCACCGATCGTTCAAAATATTTTTGCATTATCAGTCTATATAAGTTAACTCGTCATACCTTAGGGTAAATGGGAATGCCATTTAGGAGACAAAGCTGAGGAACGATGGCTAAAAACCAAACTGGGAAGCAATAGAGAGGCTGAGAAGCAAGGTAAGCATAACACATGCATTCAAGAAAAGGCATTCTTGATTTCAAGCCATAGATGAGGGGACAAAATCTTGAGAAAAGAACTTCAACTAGTCCAGAATTCCATCTTGTTCCTTGAACTAACGTGTCACTCAAATTTGTTGTACTACTGCCTAAAAAAGCTGGCCTTGAAGGGTTACAAAGCACAGATTTCCAGCCTTTGCAATGCATAATGAAACCTGTGAAGTAGTCTTCCACCACTGAATGGTACAGGAATCCTATCTATATATATAAAAATGAAGTCAATCGAAGTTGGCATAAATATGATAGAATGACAAATAGATAGAGTTATGCTAGAGGTGGCAAATTAAAATCAATCCATTTTTTCAGGTAACTCGTTTGATTTAACGGCAAAACTAGGATTTTCAATGAGGGAGTTTAAAATATAAAGAAGTAAACACATGAAGAAGGCAAGAGAAATCAAATAATTTTGGCCTTATATACACAATGTAATTTTAGGAGATCCTCGCCTTTTACTATTTATACATTGTAAAAACTATTTTTGATTAATAATATAATTTTACACCAATGGAGTATAGATGAACCCCTTGCGCCTCTAGCTCCGCCCCTGGCCCAACTACCCAAGTCAAAAGGGGTTACATTGATGATATAGTTGATTTTCAGCATTAATGTGACTGTCGACTTACCTCTTCTCCCCATTGTGACTCCTCCTCATAGGTGCAAGAGGCTAAAAATCTTGCTTCTTGGATCTCATTGTCAGCAAATTCCTTGATGCCAGTGTCATTTTGCTTATCATTAATGCATGTAATAACAGTATATAGGAATTCATTTGAGGATCCAAAATACTTCTTCAGCTCACTAAGATCCATGTCTGGTTAAAAAGTTAAAAGAATTGTGATTACTGCGGAGTATATATGAATATGGAATTTTTTTTACTAAAGAGACAAATTTGTCAAGAATTTTTGGAGAACATTTTTATAATGGATTTATAGAAAGTTATATGCACCATTAATTCATTTCAACCAACTACAACAGGATGTATTGCTCAGATTCTCTAAAAATGTTGCCGAAGAATCCAACATGCATCCATTGGCATTTTTGAAGAGTTTGAACATCACAAATAACAGGTTAACTCTATTTTTATTACTATATCAGGTTGCTATGAAGACTTACATGTTATTGTAAGTCAGCTTATTTGATGGTATAAAAAATTCATATACTTTGCCCAACGGTATAACCTAGTGGTCAATGAAATGAGTGAGCACCATGAGGTAGAGACAAAACACTACGTGATTTCATCCCATATGTTCTAACTTTGGTGAATAGAGTTAGCTGATACCTGTTACTCGTGGGAGGTGACAAGTATCATGTGGAGTAAATTGCGATGTACACAAGCTGACTCGGACACCACGATTATCAAAAAAATAAATCATACAATGTGTGAAACTTAAATCTTTAATTGATTGAGCAATACCTTTGTGTATAGCAGTCCCGTATAGAGCTTTCCTCTTCATATAGAAGCATGTACCAGATAGCATAGGTCCTATAAGCCCATCCATCCCTGGCCACCTGACCTAAATATATAGTAACAGACCGGATTCTTTGTTATACATAATACTTCAAGTATTTGATAGATATTTACAAGAAATCTGCAAAGAATAGTTATCAAGAAATTTCTCTCTAATTTCCAACATAACTTAAGGAGTTTAATTTATATACATCGCTAGCGAAAGATTCTTTTACAGTATTAGGTCACCTAAATGGTATTTAGAGGTTAATCTCCTTGAAATGTGAGATGTGTAATCTTGAAAATAAGACAGGTTCATGCTTCAACGAAGTTGACTTGACGGTGTACATTTTTTTTACTTTGATTGTATATATAACTTAGAGTCAATGATAACATATATAGTGTATTCCCACAATGTGGAGTCTGGGAGGGTAGAGCATACACAAACTATATTCCTACCTCGTAGAGATGAAGGGTTTCTGATAGGCCCTTGGCTAAAGTAAGGCATCTCAAAGCACTTATATATTGATGATCTTAATGTATATGCATTATTTTATTTTACGACGTCAATGTATAAAGTTTAAAATCATATATGATATGCAAAACTTACCACAAAACAATTTCTCATGGCAGAATCATAAATATCATTCTTGCTAATGTTGCGAAATCTTTGAGGGAACTGAACAAATGCAAGTGAGGGAGAGATTTTGGGATCAAGGTGAAAGCACATTGCTTGT